CCTCTTTTGTTTCAGAATCAGCTGGTTTTGCAGATTCAGAGTCAGAATTTGCAGCTTTTGCAGAGAGCTCATGATTTGACACATAGGGTCTGTCTGCCATACTTGGAGATATTTTCTGGTTTCTTCTCTTCTTAGAATTTTTTCCCATCTTGCTTGTTTGAAAGATTGTTTCTCTCTGTCCTGTGCTGTGGGTTTGCCTGTAGCTCTTTGTCCTGTGTGTACTAAAGTCAAATACTTGCCTCTTTATGTGGATACAGATGATCTCTGTGGGCACCTAATCTCTGCATGTTCTGCTGATGACATCACCGAGATCTGACACATTCTGGTTGCCATGGAGACGTTTGTCATAGCAACAGTGAACGTTGGGAAAATAGATATGTTAATGTACTCTTAATGCATGCAATTATATTTGATTGATTTTTGTAGTTGTCCATATTAACACTTTTATTATTTGGGCACGAGGGCGCACCATTTGCTTCGATCATTCCTTTTATTTCATAAAACCTTTTGTGAACATATACAAAGCATTTCCATTCAGCACAGTGTTGTGCCAGTTCACAACTTTTCTGAACTAGTTCAAGTTCAGTTCATACATGCTCAAAGTGAACAGTTCACGTTCAAAGTTCACAATTTTAATTCTGAACTAGTTCAAAGTTCAGTTCATTTTACTTTTTGCAAGAGATATTCAAATAAATACTTTTTTTCACTACGAGCTAGAAATCACTATACGTGGTATATATAGATATATATATATCTATATATATATATAGATATAGATATATATCTATATATATATCCTGTACACTGCACAGGATGTTTTGACTCCAATGCAGACAAGATTTACATGGGTTTCAATGGGAACTGAGCAATGGGAACTACTTACTGTAATGCGCTGCAGAACGTGTGTCTATACTTTATGTCAAATGTAAACGGCCCTGTGTCACTGACTTACCCCTGTGTTTTCATCACGGCACATGTGAGTCCAACAACCATGAATAGCACTAGCATGGGGTGCGTTCACAGACGGTGGAAACCGTAGGAATTTTTAGTTTTCGGCGGAAACAGTGCGGAGAATACAGGAGGGAGGAACTTTCTCTCGTTGCATTTAAAAAGAGAAAACAGATTTCGCTCAGTTTTCAATGGAAAAAAAAATCATTTGCCGTTCATGACACATAATATTGTCCTGATAAAATAAAAACACCCAGCCCCCATTCTTTACTTTCATACAATCCTACACTGAACTCTCTCTCTCTCACACACTCACACACGCACACACAGACAAGCACAAACCCACACACACTTACGCAGACACTCATCACACATGGGAACAGATTTGCCTCTCCAGGAGCCATACTCTTGTCAGGCGTGTGAATACTTTGAGTTCAGTGCAGGTGATGATGTGAGTTGGGAGTGAGTTCCACTGAGTCGCTGCAGTGACGGAGAAGGCTGACTTTCTGAAAGAAGTCCTACATTTTGGGACGCTGCACTCTCCTCGTGCTGTAGATCGAGTGGCACGGGTCATCGTTTCAGAGCGCAAGGTCACATATTTCCTGAGGGGTGGGGCTATAAGACCGTTTACAATTTTAAAAAGTAGACACACATTATTAAAAAACATATTTTCGAGGTTAAGAATTTTGTATTTTGTTAAGATTGGGCAGTGGTGGTGTTGTTTGGGTTTTCTGACATGTATTTTTAATGCACGTTTGTATATTGATTGAAGAGGACCCAGAGCAGATTTGGAGCCCTGGGACCAACTTGACATACAGTACATGAAGTGTGGCAAAATCATAGCATTTAGAAACATGTGGGAGGCCTCGACTCTGAGGGACCCTCTGATGTGTCTGAAGTTGGCCAATGTAAAGTTTAGACTGTTTTGAAGTTTTTTAAAATGACTTTTAAATGTTAAAGTGGAGTCGAGGCTGACGCCCAAGTAGGTATATTTTTCAACATTTTTGATATTATTTCCGTTTATTTTAATTGTTGATAATTTAGGTGTTTAGTTTGATTTGTGAAAAACATTGAGACTGTTTTCTCTGTGTTCAGTGTTTTTTGAAACAGCCAGTCAGCCACTCTCTGAGTTTGGATGGTCAGTTCTTTTGTGACCTCATTTTCGTTTTTCCCATGGACAAAGAGTACGGTATCATCGGCATACATGATGGTGTTGGCAGTGGAGATTGAGGGGAGGTCATTGATGTACATACTGAATAATAGTGGCCCCAAAATGGAGCCCTGCGGCACTCCCGTGGTGTAGTCATCTAGTGGTGACAAGGTGTTTTTGACTCTCACACATTGTTGTCTGCCACTTAGGTATGACCGAATCCAGTTTATTGTTTGTTTGGATAGAGTATAATTGGATAATTTTCCTAAGAGAATGCTGTGATTGACCGTGTCAAAAGCCTTGCGGAGGTCAAGGAAGACTGCTCCCACAACCCCGCCATAGTCCAGTCTGGATTTGATTTCTTCGATAAGAAAGCAGCAGGCAGTTTCTGTTGAATACCCACTCCTGAATCCAAACTGCATTGGGTTCAGGAGTGAGTATGAGCCTAAATGTTCTGTAAGCTGCTCCGCTACAGCTTTTTCATAGATTTTTGAAATAGAAGGCAGAATACATATGGGGCGGAAGTTGGATACCTGCTGTTTATCTCCCGACCTAACCACAGGTGTGATTATTCCAATTTTAAGAGCACTGGGAAAGACACTGTTTTCTATTGACTGGTTTATGGATTTAGAGATGGTCATTTTAAGTACGTCCTTGTGTTCTTTTAGGAAAGTGCAGTCTAATCCGTAAAAATCTTTTGCTTTACTGTTGTTTAGTTTACCAATGATTTTATCTACTTTTTCTTCATTTATTGGCATTAGATGCAGAGCCATTGGATCCTTCACATCAGGAGTGTCCATGATGTGGGGTAGTGGGAATGATTGTAATAATTTATTCACTGAATCAATCAAATATTTGTTAAAATTCATCGCCAGGACGGCACTTTCCTTTTCAGTGACTCCATTTATTTGGAGATACATTTCATCATTGGTCTTTTTCTGTTTTCCAAGAATGTTGTCAATATTTTTCACAACATTTTACTATTTCCCTTAGCTTCTTTAATTAGATTGAGAAAGAAGTTAGCCTTGGCTTTCCTGATCATTGCTGTAACTTTATTCCTTAGCCCTTTGAAGATTAGATTATCAGTAGATAGTCTTGATTTTATGAAAGGTTTCAATGAAGCGTCCCTTTTCTTCATCATGAGTTTCCAAATTTCGTGTGTAAACCATGGTAGACTTTTCTTATTCTGATTCTTTCTTTTGTGTTTTGTATAATTATGTAAAATAGATTGTAGAGTGGAGATAAAGTCACTACAAGCTTGTTCACAAGACTTATCAGCTATCGTTTCGCTTCATTTTACTTGCATCAGATCATTCTTAAGCAGAGGGAGAACTTGTTTGGGGACAAATGATATATTGTGGATATTATTTGGACCTTCACACTTAAATCTTGACTTGTTTAATTTTCTGACTGCTAGTGTGAGGTTATGGTCTGATAGACCAGTAAGCAGGTTATAGGTTTTTGTTACTCTTTCTGGTTTGTTTTTAAAGATTAAATCTATTAATGTTTGTGATGTTTTTGTTATTCTGGTAGGTTTGTTTAGTATTTGGGTCATTTCAAGAGATTTTACTAGTTCTTTGAGTTTTTTCTTCGTACATTGTCTTGCCAGTTTAAGTTGAAGTCACCCATAAGTAAGATTTCCTTGTATTCAATTGCTTTAAGCATTTTATGTAATTCTGGGTAGAAATCATTTGAGGCATTTGGAGGGCGATATATGCAAAGTATTGCAAAAACATTTGAGTGAAGAGCGTGATGGAAACTCCCACACACTCAAGTGTAGTTTTCCCCATGTCTATTTCTTTACTTTGGAGACTGTTTTTAACATATATCAACACTCCTCCCCCTTCCATGTTCTCTGTCCCGTCTGTAAACTTTGCAGCCGTTGACATTAATTACCGCTAGGGGCGTCGCGGAATTCAACCAATATTCACTCAAGCATATATAATCTAAATTAGAGTCCGTAAGTAAATGTTCTATTTGTTTAGTCTTGGATATAACACTCCGAATATTTACAGAAGATGTCCGCCGAATATCCCCTTTGGTTTGGTTTTTGAGTTCCAAATCACGCTCACATGATTGACAGTTTGGAAGAGGCGAATCTGTTGCTGTTTCTGAGCTGCGGTGGTTTGCAGCGGATTTATTTTAGAGGAGTCACAGATCTGCATGGTAGGAAAATAGTTTTTCGTGCCATCTCATATTCCAGTAGGCAGGGCATCAAGATTAGCCGCTGGTGCACCGGGCGTGCGGCTTACCTGTTGTTGCGAGGTACTTGGGATTAGAGTTTCGTTCGGGCCTGAAAAATCAAGCCCGACCCGGCCCGAGCCCGCTAATACTAAGCCCGAGCCCGGATAAGCCCGACCAATGAACGCTGTATAATAGGCCCGAGCCCGACAGAAGCCCGACATATATACGAATAAATATATATAAAATTGTAAAGGGTATTAAATGCAAATATTTAGAAAAAAAGACAGAAAGGAGATGATTACGAGTATTTTATTAAAATGTAGAAGGAACAAACCAATATTGAACTTAAAACAAAGTAGCATATAAATATATTACAACAAACACACAAAACTAAAATGCTACCTAGCCTATTAAATATGGTGTAATATTTTCAACAACAAAATATGTTCCAACTTCAATATAGTGACAAGGCGTGTATTGGAAAAGAGGAAAACTTGTCCGTATTACTAACATAAAACTAATAAATATATATATCTATATATATATTTAAAATAATCAAATAGATGGGCATGGATCAAAAAAACAATAGAATATTAGGGAGGAAACAGACATTGCGACTTCAAGAAAACAGCAACGGGCCTCAGCGTGCTGTTATCTGCGTATAAATATATAAATATTTGGTCAGTCCTCCACACATAAACTAAAATAATTGTACATCTTACGGCGTACTTACGTGGTCCTTTCTACATCGCGTCATGAAGAAAAAGTATAGCATCCACCGTAGAGGGTTTAAGAGCTGTCCTGCGTTCACTGATGGTGCGGCCTCTGCGCTGAAAACCCGCTCACTGCTGCTGCTGCTCGCAGGGATGCAGAGCACCGATTTTGCCAGTTTGGATAGTTTAGGGTACACATTGGAGTTGATCTTCCACCAGCCCAGTAAGTCTCTGTCATCTGCCATTGCATGCTTTTGAGTGATGTAGAGGGACACCTCATCCTGCTCGGATGTCACACTGTCATCGTCATTTTCCCACTCTGCAAAGTCGGACACTCGGCTTCTTTTTGGTGCAGGTGCTTGTTGTGAGGAGCTGGAACTTGCTTCACTGTCAGCAGCAGCGCTGGATTCCCCGACTCCTCCCAATGATTGGAGTAATGTGCGGACATGGGCATGAACAGTGAAGACGTCAGCAGGGGACATCATTTTAAGTTTATTAAATTTAGGCCAAAGGAAAAGTGCCACTTTATGAAAAATGTGCAGTTCGACTTTTCGTTCCAACATTTCTGCATGCTTCTTGCGCACAAATGCCTGCTGTGCGGAGTCTGTGGGAGACATCAGGCAGTGACGCTTCAGCTTCTCAACCCACAGGCAAACAAGGTTTAAAGTGGGATATTTGTCCCCTTCAAGTTCCCTCTGTGCGCAATAAAATGGTTCCAAAAAACATATTAAAAAATTCAACGTGTCTGGGACAATATTGTCTATGCGCTCTTGTTCTCCGCGTGCATGGAGTTTTTCGCTCAACTCCGGGAACACATCCAGCACTGACTTGAGGGTAAGATATACCGTGCTGAATCTGGTCTCAGCCATTTGCAGAACAGTCTTTGAGAGCTGTGCAGCCAATCCAGATTGTTTCACGTGTCTGACTAGACTTTTGGCCGCCGTTATTGTCTCGCTGATGTCTGGAGCGTTTTGCGTGAGGTTGTTCGCATCCAGTCCGTGGCGCATGACCGTGTTCAAGAGGTGATCCAGACAGGAAAGCCTTCTATATGGCTCCAATGCTTTAATGATGTTGCTTCCCTGATCTGTCACCCAAACAATATTTTTCAGGGAGCTGAGTTCCAGGCCAAATTTGTTTATGAGCAAGCGCAGTAGCTCCCTTCTGATATTCTTCCCCGTTTTTGCATCCTCAGCTGGAAATACAGCTGTGGTTAGAGTTTTCCCTACCAACAGAAAGTCACTATTTATAAAATGGCAGGTTATGGCAATGTAGCTCATCTTCCTATAATCGTCCGTCCACATGTCTGTGCTCATCCCAATGTCCCCGCTCGCCAGTGTTTGTTTCAGCTCACTTACAAGTTGTTCTCTTTTCATCTCCGCTTTTTCCAAACATGCTTTGGATATTGTACCGTGGTGTGGCAACACTGAGGAGGCTGCTATTTGTCCGTAACTAGCGCCAATATTTATAAGTTCCTGAGCAAGTGCCTGGAATCCCTCCCCACTGACGGTATAAAATGGCCTTAGATCTTTGGTGCAGAAGTCCACACATTTGTCCGTGAATGCCTGTTTTAGTCGCTGCGGTACCTTTGGCACGGTAATGAAAGATGTCATAGGGGTCTGCTGCTGGCTTTTTGTGGCCTCGTCTTGACGTTTCTGCTGGCAAGCTTTGGTGTGGCGAATAAGCGATGATGTCCCCGTCTTCTTGGTTTCAAATGCCAACAAAGCGTGGCAATGGCGACATTGCACAAAGCCCACGCTAACTTTGTCTTTGTCAACCACAAAGTGGAAATGTTGCCAAACATCTGATTTCCCTACGTGTACAGGCTCACCTTCCAGATGCAAGCTCAGCTCTCGACTTTTTATTTTCTTTTGAACCTCCAATCTATCCATTTCTGAAAATTTTCCGTGTGCTCAGTCTTGACCATAGCATTAGCATTCAACAGGAAAAAATAGGGCCGCTGACTCTGATGCGCGTTCACGGCTTTTTGCTGTTGTAGGACACGCTGTCGCCTGTTACGGAGTTATTAATATATTAACTTATTTATAACTTTTTGTCAATCAACGGACATTATTATTTATAAACATATGTATACATAATTGCATATTGACAATGTCAATATGCAATTATGCATACATATGTTTTTGACATTGATGTATGAAAAAAAAATAAAAAAAATAAAAAAAGGAGCCCGAGCCCGGCACGGCCCGACAGCTGAGCGAGGAAATGAGGCCCGAGCCCGACCCGAACTCGGGTCGGGCTCGGGCCAGCTCGGGCTCGGGCTGAAAAGCGAAACTCTACTTGGGATATCCACGGGTCCAGGGTTGGCTTGGATGTCTCCGCAGAGCAGGAGGAGGATGCAGCAAAAAGTTTTCATTCGCCGCTCGACTCCGTCACGTACCACTGATGAGCCCCGTTCTTTCTTTGGAGCAGTCGCTTTCCCTTTATCCAGCACATGGTTGTACAGCACAAACTGACTCCATGGGACTAGTGCTACGCCACGCGGGGGGCCAGCTACAGTGCAATCCTCCGAGGGTGACCGACGGGGATCCGGAGATTCCCGAGTCGCTGTCAGGCGGCCGCGTACAGCAGCCACCCGGCTCCCAAGCAGTTGCATTGTGATGATGAGTGTCACTGCGTACAACGCCAAACTCACGGTACAAACATTCTTGATTTTAGTGTTTTTATGGAGGACATATGATATTCCCGTTAATGTAGAACAGGAGTTTGAGTACAAATAAAAATAAAAATATAACGGCGGCTTAGGAGGTTTCAGGAGAGGAGTAACAGCACCTGCCAAGCTGTCACACCTTGCTGCCGCCATGGCTCCCATCTGAGACTAGCTCTGAGGACAAACAACATGCAAAACAATCGATCAACACCTTTAAATGTTAATTGGAGAAAATATTATACATATACATCCTTAACACATGTGCACGGAGGTTTTCAGAATTATCTGTTAACGTTTTCATGACAATAATACTGTTTTAATGTGACCAAAAACGATCGTGATGAACCCGGAAGTAACCATTAACAATAGTAGAACATTTTAGGACACATTTGCAGAGGATCTGATTATGGATTAAGGTCAAGTTTTTATTTGGGTCACTCACCGCTGATGTTCTGAATTATTTGTTCACTTTTCATGTAGTTCCGGAGAATATTAAGGGCTGTCTAATATGTGTTTTAATATATATATATATTAGGGCTGTCAAACGATTAATTTTTTTTAGTTGATTAATCGCATAGTAATTGTGAGTTAACTCACGATTAATCGCATTTTTAACATTCTATTTCAAATCCACTCCAATTGAAGTTAAATGAGATTTTCAAATGTAATGACACATTGTTATTCATACCAAATGTACTTCAATCTGTTTGACTTGCTCACAACCTTCTACTTTTGGGTACAACCAACAAGAGCTGTTAATGAAAGGGAAAATGTAGGTACCCCAGCGTTAATTTTGCGAGTTTGGTTGCATTTCAGCGTGTCTCCTCTCCTCCGTGTCCGTGTGTCACACAACATCAGAGAATGGCCCCTGTGCGTGTATATATATGCGTGTATTATATGACCACGTTACTGCTGTCACCATCACACACGCACGTGTCCGTGGCGTTCTGAGTGATATTATTATAAATGGGCGGGTCATTCGGACATGCTATTGACTGCCAGTCTATTTCAGAACAGGTACTCCCATATTGCCAGCCGTTTCTGATGATTTTTACTGAATTTTCAAGACCCACAGAATATTGTGTACTATGACTATCTGAAATCCAAAACCATATTCTGAAAGAATGGACTGTCTATGTTCATCAGCAAAAATAATTTTGTTTCTAGCTTGTTTTGTTCCCCTGTAATCCCCAGTCGAGTAGAGGTAAGTTTTATTGAAATCACCAGAAAGCTGAGAGAAAAGAGGCACATGTTTCCAAACCATTCATAGAGCAATGCTGCCATCTGCTGGCTTGATAAAATATTGCCTCAAGCCTTACATATTTGATACAATAGCCATCTGGGAACGTGAAAATAGCGGGAAACGCAATTGACGTGTTAACACGTCAATGGCAGTTAATGCGTTAATTATTTGTTAACGCGTTAATGAAAACGGTAATTAACGTGAATTAACGCGATAATTTTGACAGCCCTAATATATATATATATATTTGATATTTGAATTGTATACGAGTACGAGCGCGATGATTGACAGCCCTTGGCATCACTTGATTGGTTAAAGTGGACGGCATCGTGGATTTTGCAAAACCAGGAGAACCTATGGGTGAATTCCTCTAATCTTTGGCTCCAGTGTATGTCCCATGTGCTACTGAGCACAAGCTATTCATTTGAAAAGGGCACCATCTTGGATCACAGGGGCTTGGCAGTATTGCGATTGATGGCTTTCGAACAAATGCCTTTTTTTGTTGACTAATGTAGTGACTGTGATCATCAGCTCACAAAGAGACACATTGCACATTGGCCATACTGTTTTCTTACGTGTACAAAAACCCCACAAAATAAACAGTCAACAAAGAAATACGGCTACCCAGATCCCTTCGACTTCTCACCTGAACACCGGTATCTGCCATATTCGAAGTTACCGGGCAGACCCCCCAGGGCTCCCGAGACTCATGCATCAACCCTGACGTTTCCATAACAACCTTAAACATTATGTCTCTTCCACTAAAGTTGCTTTCTTTATCCTAATTCACACAGGATTAGTATTACCTCTATTTTATTGGGTGTTTTGAACAATATTTGGACCCAAATTGACACTGATTTGACACTATTTTAGTAAAGCAATCTGAAGCAATCTGAATTAACACCAAATAGTTATGAGTGTAAGTTATTAACTAACAGTCAACTCTGGATTCAAATACCTTCGCAAGGCACTGTATATCAGTGTTGTATCTGTGTAAGGACGCGTAAAGAGAAGCCTCGAGCGACAATGTTGACTTCATCATCATGTTGATATCAATGTTGACTTCATCTATGTAATATCTAGAGTAGATATGTCTTTGTTTACTCTGGTCTATTTAATGTCCAGTCATTTCCTCATTCCTGCCCGGTGGTAGTGGTATCGGTTCGGTTATTCATTGTAATTGTGCACATTTACTAATGAATAAACTCACACTTTGATTGTAATTACAGCTCTGGGTTGTTTACATTTTTTTACTCTCGGTATGTGCAGAATTTCCACAACAACACATTGAACAATAGAAATGTTAAAAAGTTGTTAAATTTATCAATAACTCTGTATCAGTCCCTCATATTCACTTATTTTTGCATCACACATATTAATCCGACCTGAAGACACCATTCTTTAAAAGGTAAAACGTTTTTATTTATTTTATTGACACAGTTTAAAGGGTTCTCTGGGGATCGGACCAGAGACAGTGGTCCTTATATAACACAATTCAAGTTGGGAGAGCGGTAAGTGGTACTCATAACTCTGTAACCCAATAACCCTTGAGTCCTGTCAAAGTTTTTTGTCAA